GCTGGACAATAAGCGCTCGCCGCCGCGGTGGTAGGAAGCGATCAACGCTACAAAGGCTCGAGAACGAAGGACGAATAAAGGTGAATTTGAGAGGGCTCGAAAAGAGAGTGCTCTTCCCACTTCTTGGGGTGCGTCTCTCGTTATGTAGGGGCCGAGCAGTCACAGGACCGCACCGAGGACACTAAGCAAAAATGCGGCTCTCATATCTGTCGGTGGGAGCCGGGGGGCATGAAAGACATTTTGTACCTCCGTAGAGAGGAACGGGAGCCAGCCGGGTGCAACGAGTGACCCATGAGGAGGGCCTCGATGCAAGAGAAGCAGCGAAAGTTTGATGATAGTCGCCACAGAGTCGTAAGGGTGTGGGTAAGTCCAGACAGATCAGGCGAGAAGGTCTCAAGGTGACCGTCGATATGCTATATGTACTTACGACATGCAGCAAGAGGCATATCAGCTGCGATGGAGTCGTTGCAGGATGAAAGAGCGCCAGCACTGCCTTGAGGTTCGGAAATGCAAAAATCTGACATGTAAAGAGAGTGGAGATACCAACTGTTACTGGCAAAAGATATAAGAAACTTCGGCTGCTGGTAGTGCAGGCAGAAAACAGTTGGTTGGTAGATAGCGCGAGCACCGGACTGCAGCACTCAGCGGCTTCCTCGGTCTTGGGCAGCGGGCTAGACTTAGTCAAAAATTAGAATGGTTCCTCTCCGCTCTGATGTGTCTTCAGTCCAAGTACCAGCCCTGACCAGTGACTGGTCACTGCTGGATAGTAGAAGCTTCAAGCTAGAACCGCTATGGGGGTTTGATGATGGTAGTAGTGAAAAAAAGCAAAAAATGACCACCGCAGGACTCGAACCTGCAACCTTTTGGTAACCGTTAAGCATCGAAGCCAAACGCGCTACCATTGCGCTAGGTAGCCATGGTGGAGGCAGTGTTGGTGGACAACAAGCTGCGCTTGGCGCGGGACAAATGCAGGGTGCTGACATCATCGAAGGCTGTACACGACGATGATCTGCGAATCGTCATCATCCCGGGCCTTACATATAGCAGTCATCATATTGACCACCTCCACAATCCTCATCTTCAACGACAATGGCGCTCAACTGGACAATGATCAACCCCAACCGGTCCCCTGTACCCCTCCCCCACGAGATGACGATAACCACTATCGACTCAGGTGATCTAGCGCTCACTATACCCGATTCGTCGCCCTCAAGCTCGTCAACGGCGGGCGGCTCTGGCGGAGTGAAGAAGCTCAAGGCGACGGGAAAAGTATACCTCACGGACCAACGGGTGCGTCTTGCCTGCCTCACAGCACGTCTGCTCGGCTGACCATGCGCGCACGATCTGACAGTTCATATTTACGACGGACGCCGGGTCGTCGTTCGAGTCACTTTCTGTGCCGCTGCCGGCGATCCTCACGACGCGCTTCGAGCAGCCCACCTTCGGCGCGAACTACCTCACGTTCGAGGTGAAGCCGTCGGCAAGCGGCGGGCTGTCGGCGGGCACCAAGGCGGAGGTACGCTTCAAGGACCGCGCGATGTTCGAGTTCGTCAGTCTTTTGGAGAAATCCCGGGAGCGCGCGATCTACATGAAACGCCAGATCACCGAAGAGGACGAGGGCCTACGTACGTCTGCTTGCTCTGTGATCATCACGATGATGCTGATTTTACCCTGCATCTAGCCACATATACCCTACCTGCGGAGTCCAGCACCGTCTCGATGGTTGGCGGCATCCCGGTCGAGAACCCTCCCAGTTACGACTAATCGAACGTTATAGTCAATGTATCTGTACTTGTAATTCTTCGCTTTGTACATAGCCTCATCGGTGGACTTTTGTGTGTACGATTGTACAATGGTGTACTACTAACTTAATCTAGGTTAACATCTTTGGAAGGATCGCATAATTATTCGCTGGCACAATGAGTAGAGCAGTATAATTAGACTCTCAATCTTATCATCTGTCTACAAGTGCGCCAGCGAACACAGATGGCTTCTAAATCCCCCCTCAAATGCGGCTGTGGCGTCGTTATATTTACACGATGAATTAAAATACACAATAGTGCACGCGATTCTTATTGAAGCACTGTATAGCTATCCATGTCCCGGTGGTACTCACAAGGCCGCGTACCAATCGGTATGCCCATCCCCGCCTCGACCTCCACCAGATCCTCAAACACATGCCCCTCATCCGCCTCCTCTTCCCCGTCCCCGTCGCTCATCCCATGCTCCGTCGGCTCGCGACACCGACACCGCCGCTCGACGCGCACGCAGTGCGTCCCGTCGCTCTCGCGGTAGTGGAAGCGCCCGCACACGCCCTCGCCGACGCGGTGCGGCACGAACTGGTCGTCGCCGTCCGCGCCCGCCTCGTCGAGGAACTGGTGGTACAGCACCTTGCGCGGCGTGTAGCGCTTCGTCGACTCGAAGTGCAGCACCTGCTCGAGCAGGTGGAACGCGAGCTTCAGCACGTGGCCGTACCGCTCCGCCGTCGGCGGGTTCGCGTAGCGCTCCGCGTGCTTGGAGGGCCGCTCGGGCGCGTCGGTGGACGACGTCGGCGGGGACGAGGAGCGCGCGGGCGGCGGCATGGATGCGAGCGCGTCGCGCCCGTCGCGCCCGTCGCGGTGCTTGCAGTTGTGTGGGTAGAAGCGCATGTCGTATTTCTTGGGCGTGTGTATGTCTGGGTTTAGCCGTTCCACGAATTGTGACCAGGGAATACCGTCCTGATCGAGGTCGGGCACATTCGACGAGAAGGTTCGGCCTGACGATGTCAAAATTCAAGGGATTGCTGCATCTATTTTAAATAGCAGTGAACATACCGTGCAATGTTGCCACTTTTTCGACATTTCGGCGCCCCATAATAAGCGCCAGTTCCATCAGGCCTTCGATATCGTCGTTGGACTGGAATATAGGGAACTTGCCGGTTAAAAAGAACAGGAGAATAACGCCTGCTGACCAGACGTCGACGGCTGCCAAAGCACCGCGTCAGCGACTCCGGGCAGATCATACAATGTGAATTCATCGTACCGCCCGTTTGCGAACCACACTTCAGTAGCACCTCGGGCGCGCGGAACCCCCGCGTCCCTGCGCGATTGGCCTTGCTCACAGGCCGCCGATCTTGGTCCGGATAGCCGACCTTGTCTGCTGCCATATTGCTCTTCGCCCGCGCCTCGCGCTGCGCCTGCTTGACATCATGCTCCAAGTTTGGATCGACGTCTCGATTTCTGCCGTGGGGCTCCGCCTCTGAGAATACATCGTGCAGGCATTTACCCTGCTGTTGCACTCGATGGCTTGGTTCCATACGCTGGTGGAAGTATCAGTACCTGGCGGGACATGAAATTATATTTGCGCGCTCACTGAAGCTAGACCAAAGTCACAGAGTGTGCCGATCCCCGTGAATGGGTCGTAAAGAAAATTAGCGGGCTTGACGTCGCGGTGGATAATCCCCCGTGCGTGGATATCACGCAACGCGCGAAAGAGACAGCGGAAGTAGCATTTAATACCCTCGGGGTGCAGCGACTGGTAAAATTCCTGTCGTCAAAAATAGAATAAGCAATCTACGCACGAGCAGCCGTGGTCCCGCAAGACGATAAATGAATACGCACTCGAAAATCCATATTGCGGTGGTACGGGAGCACGATGACCACCTGGTCGTTGTTGCGGAACGCGGTGATGATCTGCGAGCTGTGGCGGCACCCCCGGCAGTCCTCGAGGATGCTCAGCTCGTTGCGGATGCGCTCCGGCCCGCTCGTCGTGTAGATGCGTTTCACGGCGACATAGACGTTCCCGGGGACCTGCGCGAGGGGGCCGCCATCCTCTTTGTCGTCGTCGTCGTCTATCCCCTGCTTGGGCCGCGCGGCGCGCCCGCCGCGCCCGCGGTAGCTGGGCCCCGCGGACTGGTAGTGCGCGCTGCTCTCGGGAGGGTGGTGCCCCAGCCACGGCTCATTGTAGCACTTGTTGAACGTCAGGTCGATCGCCTTGTACACGGACGAGAACGTGCCCGTGCCGAGCCGGTCGACAAGCTCGTATTCCGCGACGAGCTCGGGCACGGAGATGTACAACTGCTCGATCTCGTCAACGATTTCGTCCTGCTCCTCGGAGGGGCGCAGGCTCAGTGTCTGCGCCTCGTCGGGGGATGGCGGCCGCGAGGACTGCGGGGAGGAGTACGGCGAGGACTGTGTCGATGACAGTGGCGTGAGTGGCGACATCGAGCCGAGGCTCGAGTCCCCGCGGCTGCTCTCTTTCACCGAGAGCATCTCCTCATCTTCTTCCCCGTCCTCGTCCTCCTTCGGGAAGTTCTCCCCGTCGAAGAAGTCGCCCTCCGGCTCGTCATACTCGTCGACCTTCATGTCCTCGGGATCCGCCTCCGAGACCGCCTCGACAATGATATCGTGCTCCTCCTCCACCTTTACAACCCGGCGCACCTCAGACGTGCTCGCGTCGTTCTCGAAGAGCGCGAGTTCGTCATCGCTCATGGCGAGCTCTTTGATGAGCGCCCGTGCAACGCCTGTGCGGCTCCCGCCTGCCTTGGGCGTCACGTCAAACGGCCCCAGTCGCGGGGGAAAGACCGTGGTCCCGACGACCTCGTTGATATGGTTCCGGTATTCACTGGCATTCGACCAGATGGCAAGGGGATCCGAGGAACCTTCGTGGGTGTCTGCGTGGGCTTCTTCATAAACGCGATTGTAGCTGACGTTAGTTGGGTCAGATGGGGTCACTTCGAGAGGATTGGAGGTGTGGTGCGAGAATTCCATGAGACGAGTTACCAAGGAAGAGAAAGAGATCCGAGTCCGCGAAAGGCGTGTAAAACATTTCTAATTGCACCGACGCGCCCGTCACGTGTGCGTTCTATGTAAATTGTCGACGCGTTGACACACGTCGCTCTCAGTCTAAAATTAAACTCGAAGATACGCGTCGCGTCTCTCGCAGCCCGCGCCCTGCCCCTCGCTGCGCGCTACCAAAATAATGAGTACGCCTCTATGTTACGGGATTCGGGCAAAATCAAATGACCACCGCAGGACTCGAACATGCAACCTTTTGGTACCAGACATTATATCGAAGCCAAACGCGCTACCATTGCGCTAGGCAGCCATTATGATTGGCTATTTCAAGAAGGTGATACGGAGCGTACGTTGAACACGACAGAATTTTATGCTGCGCTTTTGAATGCGAATAATCGAGCTTTCTTGAATCTTTCTTCACAGGGGAATGATTTTCCAAAACTACAATCCCCGCCTCACAGCGGTCCCGGGACATAGAAAAACGAGTGCACCGACTCCCAAATATAGCTCCAAAAACATGCAGTTCTTGTCTTCGTCACGTATTCCATTCAAATTCAAGTGAGACTGACAAAAATAAAACGAGCAGCCTCTGCCAGTGAGTGAAGCTGACGAAGTACCCAATTTCTAGAAAGACTCAAAGAGGAGGAGCCTGAGGCCCGCAGTGATACTTCCTGATTTACAGCAAAGTTCAAACAAATAACAGAATTTTTAAAAATGTTGGAACTTCCTGAATTCTGGAAGAGTCAAGACTCAACTTTCAAGACTCAAGACCGCACAGTAAATTTCCTTCTACCGCCATCGACAAAGAGGCAAAAATGACCACCGCAGGACTCGAACCTGCAACCTTTTGGTAACCGTTAAGCATCGAAGCCAAACGCGCTACCATTGCGCTAGGTAGCCATGCGAACCAGTGCTTCCGTAATAGTCCAGGCCCGCAGCCGTGGCACCTGACCAATATAGCGAGTGTCATTGGCGTGCCAGAAGCTGCTCACCGACGTCCACCGGGCTGAACGAGTGCGGCAGCGACAGTGCACATGCACCTCCAAGAGTGGGTCATTCTTGTGCTAAGAAGCCCCCTCTTCCAGCAAACTGCCCCCTTCGTTATCCTCTTCCTCGTCCCCGCCGTCGCATTTTTCGCCACCCAATTCATTCGTGGTCTAAGGCTCCACAGTCTCCTCTTCAGTTGGTTTCACACCGTGAGGATGGGACTTGAAAGCTTGGGATTCTCCGCACCATGGCTTTGGTTCAGCTCCTCTTCTCAAAATACCGCATCGTCCAGCAGGAAGCACAGGAAATCCAGTGGCAAGTCCGGTGGCAGGGCGTCCAAGTCGAATTCGGTCAGGACGCGGGCGGAACAGGTTGCGTTGAACGACTTAGGGAAGGCCCATGATTCTGGTGAGTAGCCTCTGCAAAAACCACTTGTTGGTTTCAGCTGAAGCGAAGTAGAAATTGCCGGCACCGAATTGGAGGACACAGGGTATTATCCCGGCCTCGTCAATATCTCGGGGACCTATTGTTTCATGAACTCAACTCTCCAAGTCGGCGTCTATTTCTTAGCTCGCATATACGACCTTCTAATCGCTATTTATTGACAGGCAATGGCGTCACTGTCTTATCTACAACCCCACATCGACGCTATTCATGCTAAGGCTGAAGCTCTGGATGTCCCAACACCTGTCATTGACGCACTGCAAGCCCTTTTCTCTCGTCAGTCCACCTGTCTCGTTATTCTTGTCGCTATTCTAATGGTCCACTAGAGCTCAATACTCCCAAATCCTCTTATAGTTCCTTGCGACCTCATGAAATCATATCAGTGCTCTCTGCACCTCAGCCACCACCCCCAGGATTTCAAGGCAAATATCACCCAAGCACAGGATCATCACTGTTCACCTCACGCGAACATCAAGACGCTCAAGAACTATTTCAACTGGTATCAGAATGTATCAAAAACGAAATGAGCGCGGTCGATCGGGAGGGGCTGAAGGATAGAGGAATCGCGGGCGTTCTAGAGCTCCGCAAGCCCAATCGGTCGAGTCACGATGATGCAAATGAGGATGACTCGTTGCCCAGAAGCCTCAATAACAAGAGCGTGTTCGACGGTCTAACCGCGAATAGGAGGAGCTGCGTCGTGTGCGGATACACCGAAGCGGTCATGCATTTCGGCTTTGACAATTGGCAGTTGGCCCTGCCTAGGCTTGCGGTACGCCGTTGCTTGCTCTCTCCTGATCTGCCATTTATAGTCCACCGCAGACATCGTGTCGTTTGGAAGACTGCCTTGAAGAATATACCCGCCTTGAAATTCTTAAGGATTGCATATGTCGGAAATGCTCTGTAACGGCCACTCATAAACGACTCTTCCAAGAAATCAAGACGCTAGAAGAATCACTGGGACCAAGCTCGGAAGTATCATCGGCCGCTGGGTCGTCTGTGGTTTCAGCAAGTTCGTCTCTGGCGTCGTCCTCGTTGATGCCGTCTACATCTCCCACTAAGAGCAAGCCTTCGTCGTCCAAGAAAAAGAGATACAAAGAAGTGAAGAAAATGGAAAAATCTGTTCGCGTGGCACTCTCCGAGGGTAGAATCGAAGATGAGAAACTACTAGAAGGGGTCAGGCTGGAAAGAGTAGTAAGCCCCGCCTCCACGAAGCAAGCAATGATTGCTAGAGTGAGTTTTATTTCACCACGAATTCTCAACCCATCATCTTAGTCTTCCCCAGCCTCCCCCTGTACTGGCACTTCACCTTAATAGATCTGTCCACTACGGCCAATACGCAGCCAAGAACACCATCCGCGTGAACTTCCCCGAAATACTAGATCTGACGCCATATACCACATCAGGAAGCCTCTCCACTGTCCCCACCAGCTCCATCTCCACCCCGTCTCCGCCGCCTACCCCACACGGGCCATCCTCTTCGACATCCAGTGACGTTTCAGGGCATCCGCGGCGGTCGACGACGCCCACGCCGGAGACGTACGCCCCAGGCGCGCAGCGCACAATATACCGGCTGGCCGCGGTGGTGTGCCATTACGGGCAGCATTCGTTCGGGCACTATATCTGTTACCGGCGGAAGCCCAAACGACTGGGCGGCAAGTGGGTCCCGCCCACGCTCGTCGACCCACTACGCCTGGAAATCGACGAGACCGAGGACACAGACGCCCAGGCCCCCACCCCCGCGGCCGGATCCAGCACAAAACCCAACGGGAGCGTCGCACCGCAGCAACCGCACTACGCGGGCTCATCGACGCTCGGCGAGACGCGTTACTACTGGGAGGACCGCACGGAGGCAGCCGCAGGCACAGGCCGCGGGTGGCTGCGCATCAGCGACGACGCGGTGTCCGAGTGCGGCGTCGAGAGCGTGCTCGCGGAGGGCGGCGGCGCGTTCATGCTGTACTACGAGCGCGCGGTGCACCCGCGCCCGGGCGTGTACCTGCGCGGGCGCGGCACGGGCGTGGCTCCGGGCGAGGCCGTGCGCCTGAACGGGCGGAGCAGGAGCCGGAGCCGGAGTGTGCAGCGCGGTGGGAGCGCGCGGGAGGCCGACGGGGAGGGAGCGGCGGAGACGGACACTGATAGGTTCAGCATCGGCTCGGAGGAGACGCTGCGCCCGGAGATGCGCGTCGTCGACCTGCACGGGAGCGTGGGCTCGCTCGTGAGCGAGGTCGGCGTGGGGATCATGAAGACGCCGAAGAAGGCGAAGGCGAAGGCGGAGCGCGCGAAGACGCAGGGCGGCGGGCCGGGCGCCATAAGTATGAGCATGAGCGCGCATCTCCCGGCGTCTGCATCGTCGTCGGTGTCGTCGTCGACGCACTTTGGTCCGCGGGTTGTGCGCAGTGTGAATGCGCGGAGGCGGCCCACGCCCGATGTACCTGCCCAGGCAGGGGTCGAATCTGCACCTTCAGTAGGCAATCCCGCGTACACGAACGGAACGGCGATCCACGCAGAGGACGGGATGCTCGAAGACAACGTACCTTCTCACATGACGGCATCTGCCCCAACGATACTCGCGAGTGCTGGCCCTACCAAATCGCTCCCAAATGGAGACGCGAAGGCCCATACAAGCTCGCCTCTGGGGTTAGGATCAAAGACGACAAAAATCATGCACCAACCTCATCATTCGTCGACCGCAGCGAACGTCCAGGTCAAAGCCAGATAACCGGCGACTCCGAACCGCCCTTTCGACGGCCCTAACTTATGTCTAACCGACATCTCAAAAGAACGACGATGTCTTAACCCCACTCAATCTTCGTTCACCCATTACACCTTGAATATGTCCCCCCTATCTTATTTGCTATTCTCCTCTATCCGGGCGCCTGCTCCTCCGATTATCGATTATCTGCTACACACATGCTATCCGTTTTGACCCACTTACGTTGACCAGACTCAACGCATATGGTGCTGCAACATCCTACCTTCTTGGATCCGTCAACCGCTTGTAATTAATTACCCGAAATGTATTTCTAAAGCGCCATGCAGCTTACAACGTTCTTGGTGTTCATAGATCGATCGTAGGACCTGCCTTTCCAAATGCAGAAACTATTCCCTAAAGCGGTAATAACGCACCCGGACCACTCGCATTTCAAATTCAAAACACGCACATTAAGCATGGATCATGCGTTCGCACCCAACAGCCTCGCGGACCTGATTCGCACCCATGAATATATCAAATATGATCGCTGCAACTATCTACTCAGTCAACCTCATTACTGTTCGACATGGTTTTTTCCAAGGAATCTGGCGGCGCGGAGCGTTCTGAACCCAAGTCTGAACTTTAGACAAACATAATTTCACGTGAAGACCCCGTGGCTTACCATTCGTGAAAAGCAACGAATTTATATGGCCTTCCTTTCCCATAATTTCAATTTGCGCCCGAACGTGTTGAAATTGACGAGGATGGCAAATGCATCAAATCTAATAACTCAAGCGGAACTGCCGTGCAAGTGTTTCAATGCCTAACAGAATGACGTACGTCGGAACTGCATAAATGAGTGCAAATGCAGTGTTTACAGGAGGGCGCCCGCGTCATCTGTATGTCCATTTTTGGGCAACGCGTCGAGGTGTAGTATAGTTCACCTATTTGAGCCAGAACGGAGAGATCACTTACAAGTGTGGAACATACCTCATGCCGTGTATTGCTGCAACATCCTACCTTCTTGGGATTCGTCAACCGCTTGTAACTAAACCATGTACTGCTGCCAGCGGCTCTTTGCAAGATCCTTGAACGCAAGGAAGCGTTTAAGAGCAATCTTTCGAAATTCAGGGTCCGCCATTCCATCACTGACCCGCCTTCGATGCGTTGCAGCAGTGATGCACTTCAAG